CCCCAAAACCCCAAAACCCCAAAACCCCACATCTCAGAATAGGAATTGAACCAACTTATTTTTATTCTTAGAAGTAAGGGAGGCTTCTCTTAAGAGCTTGGTTCTTAGGGCTGAAATCATTAAGAGGATTCTCATGCATACTTCCTTCTTTCATCCTATTCTTGATGATCTGATTAAGTTGATCCTCTTTGGATAATACAATCTAAAGGTAATTTGATAAGAGACTTACATTTGTGCTGATATTTTCTCTTCTATCAGCAAGATTTCTCTTGAGAAACTTTCTCACATTATCTTTCTTATTCTAAAAATTAGAATAAAAATACCGAGAAGCTATGGAACTCCTTATTATCAGTCGTAAAGCTACTACTAGGCTTTTCTCTTCTGATGCTGGGCTTTAATGAATCTAGACTATTACAAGAGTTTTTATACCTTCATAGTATCCTGGCATAGCTGAGTTCTACACTTCTTGAGCCAATGACCTTACCTTTACTGGAGAATTCTTGTTGTTAGTCATACTTTTGCCTTGATTTAGGCCATGATTTCTATTAGGTCCTATTTTTAAAACGCTCTAAAATTACTTCTATCAAGTAATTCTGTAACTCTAATGTGACTATTGAGGTCTTCATTTTCAGGATACTGCACTGTCTGGTTCACATTCCTAGATTTGCCATTCTGAACCTTAGCTGGGGAGTGATTATAACTTTCTTGCTGGGATAAATCACTAAATGAGGGAATTACTTGAGGATCTTACCCAAGATTCTTGGACAATTTTGCTGCAGAATTGTGATTTAAGATCAGATTAGAATACTTTTTGCTCTTTTTACCACTATCCCATCCATTCTCGACCTCGAGAATCTCCTTCCTGTTCTTTGGTACAGCAAGGTTTGGTAAAGATGTTTGCTGCTTCTCAGTGCCTCTTTGAGGAGAATTCGAGTTATGCCTAGTAGCTGCATGTCTCTTTCTCTCCTCAGAATTTCCTTCGGTTAATCTCTCGGCTCTTGAAAGAGAGTTGTTATTGCTTAAGATGTTATTCTTCCTTCTACTAGGTGAATTTCTCTGAGTGTAAGTATCAACCTTTGAATAAGCTTGTCTTTCCGGCATTTTTGAAGGATCAAAAGTGATATTTCTACCAATGTTGCTGAGACTGACTTTGTTCCGAGAAGTAAAGTGATTTTGAATAGGTAACCCAGTGTTGAATCTAGACTCATCATCAGATCATTCGTTTATTTTGCGCAGCCAAGTACGCTTCTTTGGTTGAGCTCCTTCGATATCATTGACATTGTTATTCCTTCTTCTAGTTCTTGGTGTGAATAACTTTCTTGGCTTAGTCTTCTCATCATCTTTAATTACCATCTTTCTTCTGCGACTTTTAGTATACATTACATAATTTGGCTCTAAAGGATTGTAATCTTTCTTGTAGTTCTTCTTGCCTTCCTCAGTCACGTCTTTGGTCTGGAGGCTGAAATGAACTTTATTAGCGAATTTATCTATTTTATAGCCAGATTGTGACCCTTTAATATCATTAATGTTGATATAATCTCTTCCATTTATTTTCCTGAGCCTTCCATATGCATCTGGAACTGCTCCATCAATATCTTGGGTGTTGAGGTTGTTCCGATCTCTCACTTTCCAGTTTGGATTTTTAGGGTTCATGATCTCCCCAAACCTGTTATAACCCTTGTCAGACATCATCTTCTTCCTGACCTCGAAGGGTAAGGGTGTACCTTGTAGTTATAATAAAGAGACTTACTCACAATAGTTTTTATTTGGGAATATGAACCTAAATTTGGTCATTTTATAAGTTTATAGAGAGCATTTAAGAATTGTAACAGACAAGTTAAACCTTAAATCTTTATAAGTAAGAAAGAGAGCTGGGGCTTCTGTCGTTCTAGGGTTATTTACCTGCTTTTGCGTTGTCAGTAGAATTGCTATGAGACATATTTATTGTATTTTAATTCATTCGGAATATTGCCATTTGGGGTTTTGGGGTTTTGGGGTTTTGGGGTTTTGGGG